ACTACTTGTATGTCTCTACAACTATAGTCAGAGATATTTATTACTACTACGTCTATATATTCTTCTTACCTACTATATATATATATATATATATATATATATATATATTTATGTATATATACACTCACACATCGCGAAGTAAGCAAGAGAAATTAGTCATAAAATTCTCCCAGAAAATGGATTATCTTTTATCTTGAACTGATAAACATTAACTTTGAAGCCAATCCTTTATGAGGATTTTTGTAACTTTACAGAGCGAAATTCTATGCAGTTTGTGGTTTTCTTTTGTTGTTCCAAATAATTTCGTTCTTTGAATTTGTAAACATCAAGAGATCCAGAAATAACCATATATGTTTACTCTTTACAGCGACGTTCCATTCCAAATTTCCTTAAATAGATCGATTTAAAATAACATCTCTTTATAACATCTCAATACTTCAATAATCATCCACAGCGCACTCACTCGTCTAGTTGATCAGCATATCCAAATCCCACAGCGCTCTTCAGTGACGGAACGTTTTCCATCCCTACCATGAAGTCCAGGACTGCCCGGTTGACGGTGCTGTCCAGCACTACAATTAGTCAAGACCAAAATGAGTCGCGACAGAGAAAAATAGTTTTACAAATACTTATAATCTTTACATTGACTACGGCTTATAAATACCATATTGTTCTTCTATTAAAATGACTAACACCTAAATTGTATTTTGTTTATTAAGTAGAGTATAAAAAATGCTGACTTAAAAACAGTTAGGGTAAACTAAACTGAATTCTTCTAGTAGATGAAATGGTAAAAATAAAATATTATCATATTTGAAGACAAAGTATAGGTACAAGAATTTTAGACTATTTTTTTCCGGACTTGTTTTGGAACATAAGAAAAATAGGCAGACATGTGATTTAGTAGGATTGTATAGGTTAGTGGAAAACGGATATCTCGTACGATTTTATAGTTTGTTTGTTTGTTATTAAGCTACACAATGGGATATCTTTGCTGTGCTCACCATGGGTATTGAACCCTGGTTTTTAGCATTAGAAGTCTCCAGACTTACCGCTGAGCCACTGGGAGGAGTTTATAGCTTGTTAGACATCTTGTAGACATATCAATAGTGGGTAGGCCTATGTAACTCGACACGTTTTTAAAATGTTTTTTTTTAATATAATTTAAAACATTTTCGTTTATCCATCACATAACATAAATCTAATCCAAAATCACTTACCATCATAAAAAGAAGCCGATGCACAGCCAACGAATAACAAAACGAGGAAAAACTTCATCCTGTGAAACAGATTAGAAATATATGAGTCAGATAAATTCTGTAAGGGCTAAATAAATATTTTTGTACAATAGAGTTTTCTCGTGCCTGTAAGACGTTTAATTGTTTCCCTATTTGGAATTAATAAATCAAAGACATTGAGCAACCTTCTCTCACAAGAAAAACTCTTTGTGAAAAAATCTCACCTCATTTCGTTGACATGTTGCAAAATAAAAGAGAGTTCCTTCGAAAGCAAAGTATTGGTATTGGTCTGAGATGACTGCCTATCTTGATCTTTGTTAGGAGTTAAAAGTTTGTCACCAGGAGTCAACGCTTTTTGTTTATAATCTATTTATCTTGCTTAAGTTGATAAGTTTTCCAATTCACCATGTTCCGTTTCACCTTGTGCTAGTGTTACTTTAAATTTATTCCTTGATGTATTGGTCAAGAACTATCATCTAAAGATAAAACACTTTTGATGAATAGTCCACAATATTTTTGATATTTTTATGACCTATTGATATCACCGTATCAGCTTTAAGATGTCCCTCTTGTTAAAACATAAAAACTGTTTATAAAGCCCACATTCTGTTCACGATTCATCCTTCAACAAGTTATTTTTACGGCCTATTAGAAAACACTAACAAAAATATCACAATAATACTTGTTTTAAGGAGTGAATGTAAAAATGCACAGTTTCACACGTAAAACAGCATGAATATACACTAACTGAATTCACATTTCAGTGAATCAAGTCTAATTAAGAGAAGATTCAACAACGTCAGAGACGAACATCGCGAGGAAAACAATCGAAACACTAACACGTGGCTGAATGAACTGGAGAATGGATACGTTTAATTTCAATTCTTCGGGTGTTTTAGAAAAAACTGTTGGTGCTGAAAGACTTGCTGCTATTCAATTTAGAAATAGAAAGATTGCGATTTGGTGAAGCGGATTAAATCACAAAGTTATATTGCAGTAAAAGTTATTGAAATTCTTGATTTTTTGATACCGTAGGTAGCTAGTTTTCAGCGTCATTAAAATATGTTACAATAAGTTAGATGTAGGATGGAACGTACCATTTACATGGTTAACCTATATAGGACGTACTTTTTCTTTTATGGTTTCATCTTCAAATTTTGATCATTAATACATCACAAATAAAATGAGAAATCCGTAAAGGTTCTAATGCACGATTGAGTTAATTTCTTGTTAAATGATTTTTTAACAGGTCACGAGCCAGTAAGAGACATTTTTGTCGAAAAACAAAAAACCACCCCATCCGGTTTCTAGAATTTCTAGAATGATAAAATGAACACATTAGAATATTTATGATACTAGGGAAGCCTGTAAAATAAATTAGGAAATAGACAAAACACGAAGCAAAATACTTGATAATTTTAACACTTTCAGGTGATGGATATTTCTTCCTCCCAATTCACCCTTTAAGAAGGAATGTCTATACTTTATGAAACCCTTTCAGTTATCGAACTTCGTATTTTAAAACTTACCAGAGAATAAATTGTAATCTTAACTATTTAAATGAAAAAACATTATAATATATTTATGTAAACACCCATAAAGTTAATTATTTTAATATTTCTACAGTATTATCAGAAAGTACGAGACAATTTTTTTTCAGATCAAAAATAGAAGTTTCATTACAAATTGTACCTATCTTTAAATTATTGCTGTTATTTGCCAATTTTGATTTTTGTGTGAGATTTTACACTATGATTTATACATCCAAAAGTCGATTTTACAATTCCACTTTCAATAACATTTAATTAAAAGTGTTATACATCACTGATATCGTATGTCGAACTTGTATTGACTATTTTAGTATTTACCTTGACCTGAAGAAGGGCAACATTATTTTGCCAAAACTTTTCATTAACAATTGAACAACACATAAGTAGTGCTCATAAACAGAGGAGGCGCCAGCCTCTTAACGGAGAAGGGGCTGAGGTGGGCTGGACAAACAGCTGAGGGTCTACACTATTCATCTTGTAGGCACACATGTTATAGTGCTTAAGAAGTGAACCAGCTTTAACAGTAAGAACTTTTTATTAGGTGAGGAGCAGAAGTGCGAATTAGGCAGGGCAAAGGGAGGGGCTCTAATGTGTAAGAAATAATCAGAGCAAATGCTCTCAAAAATAAATTGATTCGTACATTTTAACCGTAAAAAATAAACAAAAACACAAAGACCATTCACGGCTAACTTCTCTCGCCATCCAATAAAAGTTGTCCCCTACTGAAATCTAAATTGGCGGCAACCTGGTGCGGGAGCTACAGAGAAAGCTAAGACATATTTTGGGGTAGCTTCAACCCCACCAGTTCCCCCTCACATTACCGCTGCCACTGTGCACAGAAAAATAAGATATTAAGCAATGTTTAGCTTTTAGATTCTATAAGAAAAGTTTAACATCACGTTTGTTTTATAAAATATATCATAAAGTAAAACCAAATGCGCCATAGTGTCTTACCTTAATGTTTTTTGACAGTCCCAGGAGCTATAGAGTACTGGTATTTGAAGCTTATTTTATACCCCATTTTTGACAACGTGGACATAACGTTTATGACGTTAACGGATCTTAGATAAAACAGTACCAGGTGAGATTATCGCCTTCTAGTTCAACTGTCATATAATCCACGTTTGTAAAAAAGGTAATCGTTTTGTTTATCCTTGAGGTACCTTTCCGAAACCATTATATAATACTATATTGTTTACTGTTACTTATCTTATTGATTTTCGAAGATGTGTCGGAAATTTATTAGCTCCGGTAGTTGGTACCAACAGGACATCACTGACTAAAGAAGCTGGGAAAACCAACAGATGGCAATAGGGTAGTCGTCTTTGTGCTCCGTTTTAGTCTTCGTTTTTTCTTTCTTTTTTTTTCTTTTTTTTTTTGTTCTAACAAAAGAAAAATTTTTCGATAAAAATTTCTTAGATAGTGTGTAAAAATAGTGTGAATATACTTCAAAAATATGGATTATGAAATTTTTTAATAGAGTTAAAAATTAGAAATCTACTTATATTGATATTTCTAACATTTGTATTTTCTCTTTGTATCTTGATGGATATACACTTAAACTTCCGAAAATATGTTACTATACAGTAATTTATATATTGCACGAATGATATTCAGTTAAAGTGTACAGTAAAAACTTTTACCTTAGTTTTACTATGTGGTTAGTATTCAGTTAAAGTATGCTGTAAAAGCTTTAATTCTATTTTCAGTTAAACCTAGATAACGTTATCACATTTTTCAAAAGTACAACAAATAATCACAGCACATCTGAAAAGAACAAACACGCTACCTACATATGAAATGTTTGAGTTTTCCGCCCGTCATAATCCATTATTAACTGTAATTAGTCACTTTTTAAACAAGAAGAACTGTAACTTTGAAATATATATATATATACAGGGCGGCCGAAAAGTAAGTATACAGTTGATAATGTATTTAAAGTAATTAGATTTAAATTAAAGTGTGCAGTTGATAATTGATAATTTATTTAAAGGCAATTTACACATGACATGGAATTATGGGAAAGTTAATCCCGCAGGTATCCAAATTGAAACCTATCGCTGTTCTACAAAATCCTGGAGTCTGTCTGACACATTTATACAAACTTTCTAACACAAGTCTGTCTGTCCATCAAGTTCTGTAAATGCGTCTGTGATGTGCCCTTTCAGTTCGTCAACATTCCACGACTTCCTACTGTACACAATTCAATAGATTCAACATATGCAACTGTATACCTAGTTTTGGGTCACTCTGTAAAATTATATCATAATTTGTTTACATAATTGATTACATAACTACAAAATGGAAGAAACTCAATTTGTAATAAAATTACAAACATTTTTCACAGGAGTTAAAGTGAGGCGCAACGGATGTCTGCCTCTTGAAGATTCAAGTCAGTAGTTTTCCTGGTCTTTTGATTAAAATGTCAAAGTGGATTACAAATGGGAGCTCAACCTCATTTTCAACTCCAATCGATGATTTTTCATTGATAAAATTGTCCTACGTTAACTGCTCGACCAGCACTTTATATTTGTAGAATATTTACAAAAGAGGTAGTTCACACCTGATGTGACATGGTAAGTTTGTTAAAAGCCTTACCGAAATATAGCCGATTTGTGTTTAAAATGCCGTGTATTTACTTAATGCCTCTTAGCAAGTTAACAATAAAGTATCATAATATTTTAGATCATAATATAAAAATCAGATCACGATGTCATTACTTCAAAACGAAAAAAGTTGGCGGCAGGTGCTGCCGGCCATTTGCCTTTCCTCTAGCTAGCAGCTTAAAATTAGTGACAGTAGCAGGTAGCTTTAGTAGCTTTGACATAACAAAAGCAGGACAAGCAAGATTGGTGGCAATATTTTGAATATTCAGATAATTGAAATAATCGAAAATAATAATAATAACCGGAAAAATTAATTTCGTTTAGTTGATTATTTTCGTGAAAGTCAATTTAATCGTAATTTCAATTAATCAATTGTTTGAATAATCAAAAACAGTAATAATCGGAAATACTTATTTCGATTATTTGAGTATGTTCGTGAGAATCAATCAAACTGGAATTTTGGATCAGCTCTTGTGTGTAGAAACCAGTTTCTGCAATTTTGACTCCCTGTTTTTTGTGTTATTTATTAGTTGTTGTTCTTGTTTTTCTTCTAGAATTCGGAGTTATTTTCTGCTAACAAAGACGGTAACCGAAGAAATGGGACTCGGTCAGAGAGCAAGCTGTGTTAGCTCTTGCTATGGGCAGTAAAATTATATATGGTGGACCGAGCCATTCACGCGTGTTAGAGATACATGTTTTGGCGATATAGGGCATGAGAACACGCAAAGCTTGTAGAAACATTGCTTGAATAAGATGACAGTTTTATTGATTAACCTGTGTCAACTGAAATGTTGTTTAACAATAGGGCAGGTTGTAACTGAATAGTTACAACATTTTACAACAATCACATGTAACTGCTATTTAAGATAAAGCTTTAACTCTTCTGGCTATCTTGTTTTTCAGTCAACCAGTAACACTTTCATTCCTTCAGTGTGTGTCTTTAAACGTGCAGTTAGTGCTCTATCACGAAATGATGTGACTGTGATGCTCAGTATGACCAGAATTTCATGTTTAACAATGTGGAAGACCAAGAACTACGGCTATTCCAAGGTTGCCTAGAGATAGCCTAACATTCGGATCAGTGGAGTCCATGGAAGGAAACTGTTGCTGAGTGACACATTGAAGGCTTGAAGTCCCACCAACAAATCCATTCATGGATTGGCTCTCAAGCTTTCCAGGACCAAGCAACATCCTACTGCCGCACTCCAACTTATCGTGGTAAGGCTGCCAAAACTGTACCTAGCTCCAGCAAACCCTACATCACCGATACAGTTAGGCCGGACAAGTGCAGCCTTCAAGCAGCACAACCTCAAATCATCACAGCGGTTTCAGTGAAGGAGAAGATAACTGAGGTGTCAACAGGATGTCAGTTTTGACCAGTAAGATTCCTGACAGATTATGCACCATCACTAAATAACATATGTGCTAAATGTTTATTCACTTCTGGTGGGGCAGTTATATTCCAAATAAAAAAAACATTTTTCAGCTAAGGACTTACCAAGGGTTAACCGAATATCAGATTGTCTTCATGAGCTTGAGACCAAGGATTTATTTATTGTATGATAAGACCAGTGGCTATGGTTTTGGCAATGAAGGTGCCTCAACATTTGTGGCATCCAATCCACTTCAATTGACGTGTTCTTATAATTTACCCCGGGTGCAGCTGAAACTAGAGCTTTTCCACTACCCCACCTACGGCCACCGCTACTTGACCAGCGCTAGACCAGATTCCAGTGCTTAAAAGGCATTGTCAGGAATAAGCCATCGAATTGACAGAGCTGAAATAAAAAATAATCTGTGGAAACGTTCACAGCTCTCGATCCGGTTAGGATGACTAGGTGCAGAGTTGGCCCAGGCTAATAAGGCCTCGGCAAAGAGATCATATAGTAGACTACTACAACCAACATAAAATCTTCGGTAGCATTGGGGGATCTACTTTCAGGTTTAAAGTAAAGTGAGAGCGTTTCTACCAGGGGTTGTCCTGAGAGAGAAATGTACATAATGTAAATATTATTCCTAATTGTGTAAATACTTTATACTTGTAGTGTTTTTCAATAAATTTTATTATGTTCATGTGATGTATTTGCGTAATTATCGATTTTCTGATTATGTTTTGTTTTTCCTTGTTCAAGAACTTTATTTATAATTACTGTAAATTTCTTAGATAAAAGGTACTCTGTTTGTTTCCCTTTTTTATCATCATTTTCTTATGTAAGTTTGTGATGCGTTTTGTCATATATTCTGTGTTTAATATTTTTTGTTGTTTTTCTTGAAGATCCTATGTATATTATCATTCTTATGCAACGGGTTGTTTTGTAACTTGTGTTTTGATGAGTATTACATTTATTTGTTTAAATTGTTTACCATTTAGGGTATGTCTTAAAAAGAAATTTAACAAACATGTATCATAATTGAAAGGTCTTAGTCACAGTTTAATTTTTTAATAAGATGGTTGAAATTAACTACCATTATTTCAGAGTTTTGCTTTTGTTACATTCTACTTCTGTGTTAAATGGCTTGTTTATTTTTCTTGCGTGTTTTTACAATATGTCAACTAAAAGTGTTCTTCTTAATAACTGCTTTTGATTTTGTTTAAAGTATGGCAATCAAAATCCATTATCATTGTTAAATGGCTTCTTCTATTTACTTGCTTATACCAATACAAGGATTATTTCACGTATGTCACTATGTTCTCATGTGAATTTTCTCTTTGGCACTTGTGTAAAGACATATGAATTCCTGTTTTATAATTATTGGTTTTATCATGAGGTTGGCTCTATTCCATTATTAAAACTACAGCTTAGTTACTGATGAACGGTATGATTTTATGCTTATTGGTAGGTGTATCTCATTTGATCATTGTAAGGATTATTTTGCATTTCTTTGTTTGCACTTGTGTATCATGATTAATCCTTATTAAAGAACGTTCTTTTCTTATGTATCATGTGATTGTGAGAAAAGTAATTATTAAAGGGTATTATTTTACGTACATTCTTCTGCGCTAAAAAGTATTTAAATGTATCTATTGAGTTTCTTTGTTAAAATGCTGTGTTGCGTATAAGTGTTTCACAGAAAGTGAGAGAAAGTTTCGTCGCTCCTTCACAAACACGTGTTTGTAAATCTAACTGTCCTTAAACTTAAGGTTAATGTCGGTTTGAGGAAAAGCCTGAATTGAAGAGGAAATGAAAAATGTGGTGTATAAGCCTACCATGTGTTTTCTACCTGCTTGTGTTAATTTAGGAATTTTTTAATAAAATTTGTTATTTGTGCAGGTATGTGCATCTTCCACATAACACGTTGGTCAAGAAAGTCATTACGTTGCTTTTGCTCTAGCTACCTATTGTTTTGTGTTATTCACCTAGAGTAACACCTTTTCTCTTCATGTAGTAAAAATAGCTGCAATGTCATCTATTTGACAGTTATCTTTTCTAACT